CTTCAAAATTTAAAATTAAAAACAAATATTAAATATCAATCAATAAAAAATTATTAATAAAGTTTTATTATGAGCAAAGTTAATTTTATATTTAATAGAACATAATTTCATATTATTAGAAAGTTACTTTTAAATCATTTAATTTTAACATTTTAATTTTTACATAATTTAATTATATTTATATGATTTTAGAAGTTAATAAATTGCATATGAATAACCTAAATGTTAAACCGCAATGATCCTAAGATTAATCCAAAATCAAATAATTTAATACGAAATATTTCAAATTCAAGTTGATTACAACTAACATAATTCCAATTCAAATTGATTCAAATTTACATCGATCTTACTTGAAATACGTCGAATCCGAAATGACACAATTCTTCTTAATCTGAATTTGACCTAATTCAAAATTGAAATGATCCAAACTTGAAATGATTTGAATTTTTCTTAACTCAAATGATCCAATCCAAAATAATCCAACCCAAATCCAATTTGACTGATCCAATTGCCACTGATAACCTTTATATATATGCTAAACAAATAATATTCGTTTAATGCATAAAACAATAATATTCATTTGAATCCACCTCAAACAATTTTAATGTTGGCCTTTAGAAGCAAGGGCAAAGCAAAATATTTTATTTTCCAATGACTTAGTTCGTATATATTAAATTTTTAAAAATAATAATAACAGTATAATAGAACTAAACTAAGGGATGGTTGAGTGACAAAAAAAGTGTGCTTTTCTCTTTTTTGTCTAGGTTTGAATTTGCTGGAAGGCTGTGGGAAGGTAATTTTTTATGAATTCACTAGATCAATATAGATAAGATTGCTTAGACCGACCCAAAGAGGGGATGTATTGAATAAAGCTCAGGAAACCTATGCTATTAAATAAAAAATAGTACTAAAAAATCAAATTTTCCATATTTAGTCATAATTATTAAAAATTTTATAATTATTCTTGACGTGGTTAAATAATTTGAAAACGTTATACAATAGGTTTATTATCAACACTTTTAAAGACATTTTTTTTCAATGTATACAATTAAACTATCATTTATGCAAATAAATTTTCAAAATGTTTATTGTTGAAAATGCTTTCTTTTACTATGACAATGACAATTGGTAGACTTAACAACAAATAAATTGGATTAATGAAGGCTCTTTAAACTTTACGTATAACATATATAATTTCATATTTTTTTAATGGGGGCTTAAGCTCTTATCGAACCTTATATAGCTTTGCCCTTTCCTAGAATTAAGAATGATCTATTGTATACATTATTTCTAAATAAGTGTATATGGGTGCAAGGTCTACCAGAACAAAGGTAGTAAGCGAATTAGATGATATCTACAATATATATATGTGTGTATATATATACATAGACATATCATCGAATCCTTACTAGAAAGAATTTTCTCACATATACATTAGCAAAAGAGAAAATTGAAAAATGATGTTGTAGATAATTATATGTGATTTGGAAAAAGAAATTTTGATTGTTTTGTTAATAACAAACAAACACGCACAGCACCTTAACACACAAATAATAGAGCAAGTCCAAAATAAAAATATACAAATATATTTAGTTCGGTCTAACGCAAAGTAGCTTCTTCCAAATTCAATCCACTAGCAAAATAAATCATTATAACTATTAGGTTTTGAAATGAGAAAAGTCACAAAAACTTTTTACCCAAATTATGTCCTAAAACTCAATTACACTATTTTAATAGCCTCCTCACATAACTATTTTTTTGGTATGTGGCTATTTAAGATAACTTAACTAAAACTAAAACATTTTATTTATAAAAGTAAAGCCCCTTGTAACTTTACTAAATTTCTCATATGGGATTTAAGACAAACTATCGACATTTATAAATGCACAAAATTTTTATGTGGGACTAAAAGATTTAAGACAAAAATCCTCCTCTAACTTGAATTTCTAAACACTTCAATAGTATTTCCAAAACTAATGTGCTTGCCAGTCTTTTTTTCTTGCGTTACAAGAACTGAGAAGCTTTTTTCTTCAATCTTCCTTGCAATTAAGCCTCCATTAAGTATGTACAAGTGATTCTTGATCGTTTTCCCTCACAAAACCATATTATTATTCTTGTACATTTTGCAACAATCATTTCGTCCATAGTAGACCTGGCAATTCATGTTTAGTGTCATGTTTGATACGTGTAATGACACAAATTATTAAAGCATGAATTATAAAATATGTTTAAATTTTAAACACAAACATGACACATTTATTATATGTGTTTACGCTACATGACACGATTAACACGTTTATAATTTATCCATTTAAACGCAACATAAATAAATAAAAATAACACAGATATACACGAATAGATACGACTAACAAGAATATATACAAAAACACGACTAAAATAATAAATAACTATAAATTATCCATTATTTACAACTTAATAAATTTGACATATTAATAATATAAAAAAGTATTGCATATTATAAGCAATAAAAAAATTTGATACACATTTAATTTGTATTTATTATATATATTTAAATTTTAATATATATATGTCATAACTATATTAGTTTTTAATATCAAATTCAAATTGATGAACTACTAAAGATTAAAAGATAAAATAATATTATATAGGACTAGTACTAATATTCATATTGTATTTGTATTATTAATATAAAAATAATTTTATAATAATTATTAAATGACTATCATAATTACATGTTTAAAATAATCTTTATATGATATTAAGTAGCTAATTAAATATCATAATTAAAAGATTAAAAATTAAAATAATCTTTATTTGTTTATATTAAATTAAAATAAATATAAAAAATATGTTAAACATGTTAAACGTGTACTCGTATGATAAGATTAAATTAAATTTGTTTTTTGTATCGTGTCTTGTATTAAACATATATTTATGTGACACATTTTATCTAAACGTATTTTTTGTGTCTTATAAGTGTTTAGATGTATTAATATGTATAAGATACAAATTGTGTTGTATCGAAATTTGTATCGATTCAAATAAATACAAAACATGTTTTTTTTAAAACACATACGATTTTTTTTTTATCGTTTTCATATCGTATCACCGTATCATGTCTGAAATTGCCAGGTCTAGTCCATAGTATGTATACCTACGAAAAAGCTACTTCACCTAAAGTAATCAAATTGTAACTATAACTTGATATATGCTTCACATGACCAAGAATCCTAATAGCACCATTATGAAATCTAAGATGAACATTCCCAACACTTTGAATTTGCACTTTTTTCATATTTGCAACCATAATGTGATCATATTTCTCATTCTCTTCCAATTTAATAAAACAATGCCTATGATTGTAAATATAGATAAAAGCAGCTGAATCTAAAATCCAACCTTTGTCACCTATCAAAGTTTAAGTCTCATCTACATAAGTAGTCAAAAGAAGATCATCATCAAACACTATAATAATAGTGTCACTCTTTCTTCATCCAACTTCTTCTCGTCATTCCTTTTTAAAAGCAACTATATCTCTTTTCAACTTCCTACAATGCACATTGATATGTCACTTCTTACCATACTAATAACAATATGTATCATTGTAATCTTTGCCTTTTGATATAGATCTCCTTTTGATCAATTAACTTTCTCTTAAGTCCTCCATTGATTAGAATTTAGAACCCTTCACAGCTAATACACTCCCTTCAAGTGATGAGACCTTACATTCTCACTCAAAAAGGTTTTCATATCATCCAAATTCAAAGTAAACTTACCTATCAATAGAGTTTGAACTAGAGGTTTATAGGACTTGGGTAAAGATGATAACAAGATTAAAGCTTCATTTTCATCTTTTAACTTATTAATAGAAATATCTAGCAATTGAAAAACTAGCCTATTATCATTTAGGTGATTATGGAGACTTGTATTTTCTTTCATCTTCAAAGAATATAGATCCATCTTTAAACACAATCTATTAGTCGATGATTTCAATACATAAATGCCCTCAAGCTTATCCTACAAATCCTTAGGAATACTTTCAATCAACATTGTAAATTTATCTCTAGGGCTAGGGCTAATAATAGCACTAACAGTTTTTCTCTGAATTCTATTTCAATTACTATCAATCATTCCCTCAGTCTTGCTATTCTCTAACGCTTGATCTAACTCTTGTTGCATTAAAAAATCTTTAATAGTACTTTGTCATACATAAAATTATTATTTCCATAAAAAAGAGCAATCTCAAACTTAGACATACTAGATATACTTTCAGACATTTTGAGATACTCACACTGTCTTCATGGAAGTCAAACTCTTTTCTCATATCATGCTCTCTTAAGCTTGTCTCTTCTTACGTCTTGAACTTAGCTAGATACCACTTGTTAGAAATAAACAAACACATGCAACACCTTAACACAAAAACAATAAAGCAAGCCCAAAAATAAGAATACACAAATATAATTGGTTCAGCCCAACTCAAAGTGACATACTCCAAATTTAATCTACTAACAAAATAAATATTTACAGCTGTTAGACTTTTGGAATGAAAAAAAATCAGAAAAACTTCTAACTCAAACTTAATTCCAAAGCTTAATTATACCATTTTAATAACTCATTCATTTAGTTATTTTTTAGTGTCTAACTATTTGGGATAACTCCACTAAAATCCAAGTATCTTATTTATAAGGATGAAGCCTTTTATAACTTTATTAAATTTCTCATACGAGATTTAAGGCAAACTCTCAACAATTATGCACTAACAAAATTTTCATTTGAGACTAAGAGATTTAAGACAAATCTCAACACGTTTGATAAACTCATTACATTCTAAAACTTTGTTTTGATTCTTGTTGCAAATTGATGATGCAATTACATATATTTAAATTTAAAAAATAAATAAAATTAAAGAAAATCTCAAACATGCTAGAGAATATATATATATATATATATATATATATGTTTGTTTTCTAAAGATAATCACTGCGCTTTTGTTTTACAACACCACGAGAAATCATGTATTAAATTTTATCATCATCATCATCATCCTTCTCTGTAGGCGGAGGGTTATTTAGGTCTAATAGAAAGCTGGTTATAGGCTCATTGAGATCAATATCCAAGTCCCTCCTCGACGAAGAAGTAACCTCCGCTGCAACAGTTGTATTTGAGTCTTGACTCATCTTTTGTATGGCTCCACGAGCCAAGTTCAACAGCGCGGGAGCCAGTTGCTCCTTGAGGGCTTTGCCACCCTTATTATTCCTTTCCGGAGAGCCCTCAGGAGTAAATGTTGGTGGCGGAAATGCCCCAGGGGTTTGCCTTCGATGGGATCTCAGATGCCCAAACACTGCCTTCCACGATGCGAAAGTTCTTTTACATACGTAACATGCAGGGGCACAACTGGGAATTTCCATTTCCCCTTTCATCCTTGCTTTCGATCCACTGCCACTGCTGGACCCAACATGAATAGGATCACCGTTTCTTCCTCTTTTTCTGGCGGAAATTGACGCTGAAGAACCACCACTGCTTACACCACTCTCTTGACCCTTCTCAGTTTGAGTCACGTTTTTCTCATTCTCTAGGTCAGCCGGAGTGCCCTTTTGAATATCACCATCACCCTGGCCCCTCACATTGTCTCCTCCACTTCCCTCTGTCTCAGTACCACCGTCGTTCTGAGTCGCTTTGGTCTTATTTTGTCCTGTTTTCTCCTGATCACCACTCACATTATCTCCTTCATCACCTTTCTCTGATTGAGTCACGTTGCTCTCATTCTTCTCTGTTCTCTCCTGGGCACCCGGGGGGTTTTGAGGGCTGTTCTTCTCCTGGGGTTGCCGCTCCGAGGACGAGGGTTTCTCTTCGGCTGATTCTTTGGGGTTGGTCATATTTAATTGGAGAAAGGAAATGAAATACTTCGCTCTTTCTGGCGAAGGCGCAGTTTTTGAACTTCAAAGATCAGCAAGCTAGGCCCTTGGTTCTGTTTATATATTGATTTTAAACCGCTAGCTGGGGGCTAATTCCAATTTAACTCGACCAGAGGGTGTGAATGTTCATCTTGAACTGTCCTTTTGACATGTCAAACCGTTACGTCTCTCCATGATGGCCCGTACACGTCGATATATCTTGCTCAAACGTATTGTAAGGATTGCATCAGAATTCATGGAGTCGATCCCTTCCCGTTTCTTGCCGACGCAAAACCAATGTTGGAAGGGGTTTTTATATGATGGAATGACGAATCGGCCCAGGATGAAGCAGCAAAGCTCACTCTAAGCATTTCTGGCAGAATTTCTTTATATGTAAAAGCACTGATGTGGTTTCCATATATTTTGTTGGCTAGGCTAAGAGGAACATGAAATTGGTAATTGAAAATCCAGGCAGGCAGAAATAAAAAATCTTCCTCAACTTTCCTTGTAAATAAGCAAGTATATGATTGAGATTAGCTAACCTTTAACTAATCTGTATTTGTCCCAAGAAAGTAAAAACTCATGCGACTTCACAGTTCACAATGAATATACATGATGAAGATGTATTAATGGCCATGGTGCCAAAGAAGGCAAATTTCACAAGCAAAACAGGCAAGTTCTATGTGGAAATTAACTAAAGCTTCGCCAAAGACTAATATTATTATTAGTTAAATACTACTCATTTTGTTTAAGAAGGTTCACATGTACCTGATTTATTAATAGAAATTAAGAAGTTCTATATATAGTGTCGCTATTATTTTACTGAATTTACTTCATTTCAAGGAAATTAAATTTTTGGTATATTTAAATGGACCGATTGTTTATCGGTATTCAATGTAGAGTATGATATAATTGTTACATCAAATTTATATATCTTAGGTTTTAAAAACTTAGTTATGCATGTTTAACTGTTTATAATCTTTATGAAAATTACTTCATCCACTGTTAGTAGAACTTTTAGATTTTATAAGCATAATTAATAAGATGAAGTATATTTAAAAAATAAAAAAAAAAAAATGTGTCAATCTCTTAATTTTGCTTATAAAATTAAAAAAAAATTACATTGATATGGTACTAAATACTAACTTAATATATAGACAATATCTTTGACAAATATTTTAATAGAAATAAAATTTTTATGCATGTTTAATTAACCTATTTAACTGTTATATCAAAATTTATATATCTTAAATTTCAAAAACTTAGCTATTCTTGTTTGAATATAAATTAAATGGGTAAATTTCATCTATAATTTTGAAATTTTTTATTTTGATTTCATTTTAATCCTTAACTTTTGAATTGGTTTTATGATAAAATACAAAAAATGAAACTACTTTAAAAAGTTAAGAATCAAAATAAAATAATTTAAATGTTAAGGACTGAAATGGAATTAAAATAAAAGAGTAAGAATTATGAATGAAATTTACCCTAAATTAATTTATATAGTTTTTTATATATTAACGTAACTTTTTCTGATTTAAGGCTTTGATTTCTTTATAGTATGAGTAATGTTCTTTTCTTCTTTCTACAGTCATTCAGCAATAGTTGACTGACAATTAAAGTATCAACCTATACGGCAAATACAGTTTTCTAAACTATGGACGACAAATAAATCAATTTTTTTTTTTTATATTTAAAGTTATCATAAATTAAATTTTAATTATTAAAATTAAAAATTCAGTACATTATTAAAATAGGAAAATATATTGGATATCGATGCATGCAATTCTTTTTAAGCCTGGAAATAGTGTTGTATAACTTTGGCCTGGTGGATTTTACTGGACCATAGATTGCAACGGACATCATACCCTAACATTACATTAAAATATTAACAATTTTAATTTAGATGCCCAGAAATCAAGATGGCTTTTTCTTATAGTGAGAGAAGGACTTCCTCATGTACCGATGTTGTCTTCTACATTTGCTCCTAGTGGTGGTTTGAGAATTGAGATGTTCTTTGGGCTCCGTTTGTTTTGTAGAATATAATTTTTTTAAAAAATATATGTATTTTCATATATTTATTTAGTGAAAAATTGATTGGTCAATAAAAAATAAGATAATTTTTCAAAAAATTATTTTACCTTTTTAGAAAGAAGAAGAAAATTTCTAAAAAAAACTATTTATTAATAAAATTACTTATCAATGCATTTAAGCATAATTTTATTCAAGTTGGATCTTATACATGATTTTTTTTTTAAATTCAAAATTAATTTGATTCTACCCAAAATATTATTATATTAATAAATAATATTTTTATTTAATTTTACTTAAAAAATTAAAATATTAATATTAAAAGTCTTTTAATATTTTTATAATTTTACTCAAGTAAAACTTTAAACATAATATTTTAAACTCAAACTTAATTTAATTGGACTTAAAATATTATTATATTAATAAAAATATTTTATTTAATTTTAATTAAAAATTAAAATATTAACATTAAAAATCTTTTGGTATATCAATTTTAAATATTTTTATTTTGTATATTATTAAACATAAATATTTTTTGTATTTCAATAATAAATAGTATTATATTATTATTTCAACAATAAATAATAACATATATAATAATATTTTTATTATTTTAATAATTAATGTTAAATAATATAATATTATTTTATTAATATGAATATTTTTAATAATTTCTTATTATTTTTTAGTTTAAAATATATAATTTTATATATTTATTTATTAAGGTATTTATATTACTATTTTAATAATAAATATGAATAAAAAAGATTTTTGTTATGATTTAATAACATATGCTTTTAATATAAAATATAAATATTTTAATAATAAATATTACTATTTTAATATTAATAAAAATAGTATTTTAAGAATATTAATAACATTTAAATATTTAAAATATTAATATAAAAATAATAAATAGTTTTATTTTAAGTATTTTTATATTAATATAATATTTTAATATTAAATATTATTATTAAAATATAATTAGTCTTGAATATTAATAATTTTAATAATAAATAAATTAAATATTCTTTAATAATAAATCATTTTTAATATTTTAATAGTTCTAGTAATATTATTTAAAAAAAGAAACAATTTTTTTAAAAGACAATCAAATAATAGAAAATAATTTTCATTAACTCATCTATATAATAAAAAATATTTTTTTTTTTAAATGTAAACATTTTTCAAAAAATATTTTTTAAAAATCAATTTCAGCAAAATAAATGAAGCTTCGATTTTAGTTCAAATTATTGACATTTGGATGTTCTTATTGTGTTTAATAACTTGGATTTGAAAGAAAGAAATTCGATTATTAAATTTAATATAAAACAGTTGTAAATAAGACCTCTCCGATCATCTTGAAATTCATAGATTGGTTGAATCCTAATTAATATTGAATTTGAAGTAACTTGTAAATGGGTTAATGTGATGAATAATTATAAATTATAATAAAATATTTAATATAATATTTGAATTTGAAAAATTTTAAATATAATACTTAAATTATGAATTTATTAAATAATATAATACTCATTGTTAATGTGATTAATTTCAAATATCTAATGGACAAAAAAATCTTTTAAATATTAAATTAGTTAACAAATTTATAATTCAAATATCATATTAAAACTTTTTAAAATTTAAATATTACATTTAAATATTTTCTTATAATTTTAAAAAAACATGATATTAACACTTTGTAACTTTAACGTTAATTTTCTTTTATTTTTTTGGCAAAAATCTTCTCATAGCATTTTAAACATATAGATATACTGAATTTTTATTAATTTATGCAATATACGTAATGCGATTTTCCGAACATATATAACTTCTTCCATTCAAATGGGTGATTTTGAGGTGCTCAATAACAAATGTTGTTCTGTGCATCAGCAGATTCTAATTTGCAATTCTTTGGAAATTTAATTACCACCACCATAACCTTTTGATTTAACAATGGTACGTACATGCATGTAACAGAAAGTACTCCTACATAATATTGCTTTCATGGTCAACAGAGAGATGAAAATCATAGTATACAGTAAACAACCTCTCTTCCCCTGAATTTTGTAAAATACTATTTGCCATAATTAGTGATTGAAATATAATTTCTATCTAACATTTCTTGTGACACTTTCCGTCCTCTCGCTATGCATCAAAACATGGTCAGCAGGAACAATTTCATAGAGTGAAAATATACTACAACTCATTGACTCATTGCCTACTTTCAAGGAAAATGGACCATCGATATAAATTTGGGAGCTACACAAATTTAACAACCAATTCATATGACCAATCTTAATATCGAGTATATACAAGACATTTAAGGCCAGGAAGAGAGTACACCAGTTAATTCAAAGCCCTTCTATTGTAATCGTACTCTAAACTTATTCCTTTCTTAACTCGAGCTTGAATACAACTCATGTTCAAACACACAAATTTCCACATAAATAAATATTTGATAATAAACTACCGACCAGAATTTCCCAATAACCGCTCCACAGCAGCATGAACATTCCCTGCACTGGCCATTAATGCTCGAATATTCTCTTGAGTGTCAATAAAACCCATTTCTTGAAGCTGCGACAACTGGGTGGCATATAGTTGTTCTGGGGTTACTGGTATGAAGGAATATTTTTAATTAGTGGGACAACCAAAAAGAAAAAAGGTTTAATGGCCAAACAAGAAAATTGCGAACACTAACCATCAGATCTATTAGGAACAGCCAAGCTGCCAGCCCCAAGTCCACTAAACATGGTCATCAGTGGCTCCAACCCTGTGTTGCTGAGCATTCCTGAAAATATATTTTAATACTATAAAAATACTACTCATTTACCAAATAATATTTAACAAAGTAAAGATAATTTATTTCTTGTCTCTCCCCACTTCTATTGAAGTGGAACAAGCATAGTGAGCATTGATAATGCTATTAAAATCTGAAAGACATCCACTTGAAGGGTGAGAGGAGATGAAATTCAAACCGCGAAATCTTTATAATAATAGTACAAACTCAGATCATCCAACTTTCACAATTTTGAATTCTCAATTCACTATATGTTAATACCAAATACTTTGTCAAATTCTTTAATAAGAATGAAATAAAATTGAGTGCCTAAAACCATACAGATGGAGAAAGATTAGACAAAATCATATTGCTTTCTAAATGATAACGCTGATTTCGATAAACAATACATTAGTATGGTTATCACTAATCAGAACAAGTCTGAACTGTGAATGCAAAGAACTCCTAAAAAACGATAAGCATGACAGAGGAACCACAATTCTGATAACAAAAGCAAGATGATTTTGGATAAATGACTTCTATACCTGCACCTCCACCAGCCTGAGCAGGGTCCCTGCAAGACAAGAACAGATTTAGGGAAAAAACCATAAGCACGAATCAGTGCTTCAAGCAAATCCAGGAATAATTTGGTTACTAATGAGAAAGGATACCAGCATTTTAGGAAACCCTCATCTTGTAAACTGAGACTCTGATTGCTTTGACATTTTCATTTCATTCTCAAGCATTTTCCTTTTTTCCTCTTCTAACACTTTTATTTGTTTAATATTTTGTCATTTCAAAATTGAGTATATTAATATAAAACACAAAAAGAAAGAAGTTCATAACTGCATATGAGAAAATAATATTGATATCCTGTTTAAAATCAGGTTCAGAATATTGCACCTTCTAATTCTAATCTAAAATTGCTTTAAAAAAAATTGCCAATATCACACCTTTTTTGGGAAAAAAGGGCCCCCTTAAAACATTAATAAAACTACATAAAAAAGATAAAACTACATAGAAATGAGGGATATGCAATTTGAATTATTCCACAGAAATTTGATTCAATAGGAAACAAGGGAAACAATCACTCCACTCACTGGGTTGATTGTGGCCGACTAAGTTGTGAAAGAAGAGACTGCTGTAAAGTCAATAGTTGCTGCAAGAGAAAACCAGAATGGCAACATATGTCAACCTTCCTTGTACAAACATTTATTTTATATCCTGGTTTTAACAACATTACTCAACAGATCGTTTCAAGTTAAAAGATAATAATAGTCAATTAGAAGAATCAAATCAGGTTATGCAACAACTGCGGATAGAAACACACGTCTGTATGTTTTCATGCATCTGAAAGAGAGTATAAACTGCAGACTGGATAAATTACCTGCATCGTCTCAGGAGAAGTCAACTGACGAAGAAATTCAGGGTTTTGCATCATTTCTCTTAGTTGAGAATTGGAATCAAATATGCTTCGAAGTTGAGGATTAAGACCAAGAACCTGGTCACTGGCAATGTCAGAAAACAAGAAACTTTACCCCAAGCCCTAATTATAGGAGAATACAAAATAAACTAACACCTGGTTCATGTATTGAGGGTTGGAGAGGATGCTTTGCATCATTTGTGAAATAGCTGGATTTTGCATCAACTGATTCAGTAAATTAGAATCCTGCATAGTACCAAACATGCCTTCAAACCCTGGAAGACCTAGACCACCTAACCCAGCGGGTGCCTGTGGCCTAGCATCTGCACTAGGGTTTGACCTTGTTGCAGTAGTTTGGGTACCTCCAGCTGCCAGATTTTCATTCAATTAATAGATTATTGGTAATATCCATGTCATTGTTTCAAAATGGGAACTATAACTCATAAACCATCAGCGGAACTAAAACAAAGATAAATACTTCAAAAGTAAAACATTCTGAAGAATGGTTTGAGGTAAAGAAGGCAAGATGTTGCAAGAAAATAAGAGCTTACTGGCAGCAGAAGACCAAGGGTTTGGAAGTGGATTAGTATTGGGAGCAGGAGAATTGGTAGTAGTTCCAGGAGTGGGTGTGGACTGGTTAGTTGATCCATCTCTCGCTTGGTTTCCTCCTTGAGTTCCCAGGAGGGCTGCAAATGGGTTTGAGCTATCATTTCCAGTACTACCAGCCATGGTGGTTGCATTCAGAAAAGGTTCTTGAACAGTTTCATACATACGGCGAAGCATGTTGAATCCTTCAGGTGATGATTCAATGTTGCTCATTGCTCTGTCTGTATTCCGCATCATTTCACGCATGAGCTCAGGGTTTCTTGCAGCTTCAAGTGTTTGACGGAGAGTACTTGGATCATTAAGTATGTGAGCAAGCTCAGGATTTCGGTCTATGATATCTTGCATTTGAGGATTGTTCATGATCAAGTTTCGCATTACCTCAGGGTTATTCATTAAATTCTGAACAGCAGGGATGTTCATTATTTCTCTCATGATGTTGGGGTCCCGAGTCAATTGTTGTTGAACTTGTTCAAAATCTGAAAGCCCAGCTCCAAATAGACCAGCACTGCCACCAAGACCAAGCCCAGGAAACAGTGAAGCTCCCAGACCAGCTCCTCCAGCTCCTAGTGCCCCAAATTCATCTGATCCAACAGTCCTTGTAGTTGTTTGAGTGGTGTTTGAAGCCCCAGAACTGATCGATCCAGCAGCATTGGTTGTTGTTGCTGGTTGTGGGGGTGCAAAAGCACGAACCAAGTGGACAGTGTGGTCAGCTTCCAAACCTAAAATATAATAATAAATATACCATCAAAATTTTATGAAGGCATAACCAGGGGAAGTAACATCTGGGATTTCACTTTTCAGTCAATTACCCACCTATCTACTCAAACCTTGGTGCACTTCCATTTAGAAAAAAAAAATTACACAATAACAGGTAAGAACCAATAGTAGTAGCGTTTTTGGCATACAATACAGTGGAGCTGTGTTCAACTAGTTAATAAAATAAAAGGCCAGGCACCCATTCCAACTAGAACCTACTTAATAAAAATTAATTGAACCACGTGAAGTATGGTAAAATATTTGGGGCAATTAGCTTCAAAACATTCAATTCAGAATACTGGGTTAAAACGCTTTTGCTATATCAAATATATATAGGGGATCAACAATGAAAAAACCTAAAAGCAGGAAAAGTTTTAGGTCTCGAATGAAACTTGTACATTATAAGGAAACTATAATGAATTCTAATTAAGGAAGAAACGGAAAAAGGGAAATAGAGGGTGAGTTGATGCACCGTAGCTTTGAAGGGTTTGATCGTCCTTTAAGATCCGGCCTTTGTAAATTAAACGCTGTTGATCGGCGGGGATATCGCAGCTGCGGGCCAGAAGTGCCTTGAAGGAATCGACGGTGGAATCCAGGTTGATCTGAAGGGAGAATTTGGAGCCGTTGGAACATCTGATGTTGACGGTGACTCCATCACCGGCGTTGCTTTGGATGATCTCTTCCGTAGAAGCACTATTATCACCGCCTCCCATGGCTGCCTCAACTCCTCAACCCCCCAACTTGGGAGGCCCTTCGACACTCTAGTTAAAAAAAAAAAAGAAGGAAGCAAAAATTGTGATCGATCAAAGCAATACTCTAGGGAAACCCTTAACCCAGGAAATAGAAAAAAGGTGGGATTAAACGGAGAGATTGAGCAGAGATTGTGTTGTGTCAAAGAAAGGGAAAGGAAAAGAGAAAGACGAAAATGATTAGAAAAAGAATAAATAGAGACTTGACTTTGCCCACCTAAGCAGGGAAAGTATGTTAGTTGAAAGCCGATGTGATTGAGGAATCTATTTTTTAATAAAAAAAAAGAACACTGAATCTGGGTTTCCAGGAGGTAAATGAATTCCTGGTTTCGTCCTTAATTTCCTCTCAAATTTGACCTAGCGATTTCATTGATACGGGGCGGCTACAATATTTTTTTGTCTCCATTTTTGGATTTTTATAATATAATCTTCCTCTTATATCTAATAAATATTTTAAATTTATTTTGATGAATATTTATAAATATGAATAATTCTTGTATTTATAATTTTTAAAAAATAAAAATAAATTTTTATTTTTTAATTTTATCTTAGATATTTATATAATTTTTTTATAAATGTATTAATATAATTTTAAATGAAAATATATTAATTTAATTAATTTAAAATAATAATTTATATTATTTAATAAAAATTTATTTATCAAATATATATATATAAATATATATACACATAATGTATAAGTACATATATAGAATTGATATTATATTATTGGTCTTTATCTTCATATTAGATAAAAATTTAAAATTATATTTATTTTCATCTTTATTTTTATAATATAATTTTTATTTTTATTTTCATATAATTAAAAAAATGAGATTTTTCATTGAACATGATTAAATTGATATCCTTATTTTGAGTAATAAAATTCTCAATCATTAAACAATGCAGAGTTTTAGGCTTTACTTGTAAAAATAAAAATTTTATTAATTTAATTAAATAGTTAAGTTAAAAAATAAGAAAAATTATTATAAATTTTAGTAATTGAATTAACACATTTATTATCCTTTTTTTTTTTTCATTTTTTATCAAGCAGGCCTAAAGGACAAAAGTGATTACCATGAAAAAATGATGGCCCCCTTTGTCTTTGGGAGCCACTCCAAGTAAAAGTAATTACCTACTCCGTGCCCTAATGACGACATCAATTGCCTACTTGACCAGTGGTCTATTGCTAGGTTACGATACTTTTATTCGTTTACTTTGCAACATTATGTTAATTTTGAAAATGAAACTATATAAAATTATAAAACATATAAAATAATATAGTTTAAAATTTTAATTAAAATTATACATAAATTTAAACTATTAAAAATATGTTCATATTTAATCCCGAAAGCAAGCCAATTGTGTTGAGGAAATAAAATATCCATCAATACTTTGATGTGAGCGAGTACTCTCTTATGCGAATGAGTAACTTTCTGGCCTCTATCCTTCCATTTATCTTTCTAACAAGTTGGTTAACTGTTAACATAAATTTTAATACGATAATTTTAATATTTTATAAATAATTAATATAAAACAAACATGAGATAAATGCATAAATGATGATTTATACTTTATTAATTGTGATTTACATGTAAAAATGATGAGATGTGTATGAAGAAAAGTAGAAGTATTTGCTAAAAAATAAATAATAACTAAAACCATATTAAGGATTTATTTGGATTGGAAGAGAAATTAGTTTAAGTAAGATTAAAAATTATTTATTATAATGGTGTGATTGATTATTATAGCTGTAAATTAAAATAAGTGATAATGTACGTGTTTAGATGTAAAAGTACAGATGACAATAAAGATAATAATTTCACACTAGTTACCTTCTTTCCCACCTCAAATGGGTGCAAATATATAAAGAATTTTGTACCCAATTACGATAATTAAGTTTGGATATTATCAAATTCAGAGATGAGGATCGGGATAAGTGAGCTGATACCCATATTGTGGGTCACTTGATATCCGATATTGTTAGTTTTTTAGGTGAGATAGTGATCAAAGAGAGGATGAATTGGATTTTTCAAGTTCTTCCCAAACAATAATTTTGAAATAATTGAATGAGAAAATAAATCAATAAGCACTTTTGATAAAAATATGATGCAATCAATAATAATTGTTGAACCTAGAATCAAATATAAATAACAATAAATGTCAAGTGATAGGGATAGAAAAATCAAACATAAAAATTTATAGAGGTTCGATCATTCTCCATAAGACACTTACGTCCTCTCTTCTTGATTTTCCACATCAAGACTTCAATCCACTATTCTTGAATTGAAATTATAACTTTATCTTTTTCTTAAGGCTTAGATAGTAACCTAACACTCTTTACTTTCTAAGCTAAGTAACAGCCTCTCAATATCACAAATTCAATATGACACTTCACCTTTTGATTACAAAATCACTTAATAAAAATGCAAACTTAAAACACCTCTCAAAAGTTAGGTGTTTGCCAAGTTTAAGTACAAGGAAATGATGGATGAACAACAAATATAGCTTGGATACAACAAATACAAAATATTAGATTTTAAGCTCTAACAACTCTTAATTCATTGAGAAAATAAAAATATAATTTGTTGGCTCTTGCTCTCTTGATTCATCAATCTTATTGATGTATTGGAATGCCCAATTTATAGAAGAATTGAAAAACTAGCCATTATGGATGGTTTGGAAGAAGAAATGCCCATTGGAAGCTTAAAAAAACTAATCGTTTGAGTGTTTTTAGGCATAAGAGATCGATTTGTTTTTGGTACCAATCGATCCTTTTTTTAGATGATTGATCTCCTAGTCTGGGTGATCGATCCTTTTTCAAATCTTAAAGTAAAATTTTCATTCTGTATAAAAACCCAATCGATCCCTTTTTTAAGGGATCGATTTTGTCCAGCAATGGTTGTCTTCTATTTTGCTCCACTAATTTGATCATATCTTGAGTTATACAAATTCAAATCAAAAACTATTTGAAGATTTAAAAACTAGATTTAAAAGGGCTTTCTATTCATATAAAATTCATTACTTAATTCATTGTATACGAATTATAATGAATTTTTAAACTACCTTTTGTACAGTTTTTAGACAACTACAAAGTGTCTATAAAAATTCAAATCTTTTCTTAAAAAATTTAGATTTAGATTTTGTTTGATCCATTAAAAAGTAGACTCAAAGAACTTTCCAACCATATAAAATTCAAATATTAAAACTTTGTGAATTAATACAAAAAATAAAATAATTTCAATGTTGGAAAATTTTGTTATTATAAAACAACTTTCTTAAGTTAATCTATCTCTTAAAACTAATATTATCAAAGTTGTATTAAGTCTAAAATGAATAAGTTCACTTTAAAACAATAATTGGACTTTTATTTAAGCTTAAATAAATAATATTTAAAGATAATTTTGATTTGAGAAATAAGAAAACATAAAAAAGGTTTGTTCAAACTTTAAAAATCAAATTATTTATTTAGTATTAAAAATAATAAAACTTAAAAACATGTACCAAATAAATTTTTTCAAAATCTTAATTAAGCTTATTTAGTTTAATGTTTTGTCATTTTAAACTAAGGATTAATTCAAGGCTAACAATCTCATATAAAAATATTTTTCTCATTTCTTTTTTTTATAATTTAAATAATGTAAAACTTATCAAAAAATATTTTTCTTACTACTTTATCAAATTATTTTTTTAATTTTATTAAATTATTTAGTGCAAATTTATGATATATGATTTTTTATTTTTTTAATTATTTTTAAAATTATAATAGAGTGTATGGATAAATTTCGAATTACCCATCATCCTTTGAGTATAGGGGTGGGTATGCAAAAATATTACTTGACAGGTATAGGTATAAGATGGTATAAATATCATGTTAGAGATAAAAGTTGTTCAAACTTTGTTTTTAACCAAATTAACTGACCGAACTAATTTAATTTCGTTAATCGATCAGTCACCGAATTAAATCGATTTAATTTTTTAAAATAATGTAAAACAAAATTCAATTTTCAATTAATTCAATTCAAAAATTGAATTAGCTTAATAATTAACCAAAATTTATTACATTAAAATACACCGTTTAACTAATAAGTTATATATATATATATTATTTTGGGACCGTCATTCACTTATTGTTACCCTAAAAGTAAAACACATCACTTTTGCCTAGTGCCTGCTCATTTGATTTACATCATTTTCCTTTCTTGACAATTAACACTAAAACTAAAGTTTGAAACTGTGAAACTTTAGCTTTACTCAACTTAGAGTCCTCATTTGTTTCAAAATTTTAACTTTCTTTGCTTTGTTTTTTTTTAATTGTTTAGTAGTTTGGGGTTCTTGATGGATTCCTTGGAAAACACTGAAAGAATGTGGGTTTGGCATTTAACTGCACTTTTCTTCTATTTGGATCTATCATTCAACTCATAGCCTATGCAAAGTACCAACTCATCTGACTCTTTGCTTTTATGATGTATGTCGATATTTTAAAATTGTTGGGTTTAAATAATTAAGGAAGAATCAACCAAGCACCCCTGACAATCAATTCCTTACTGTTGGGTATCTTTTGTTTTGATGTCATAGCAACATATGACATAAATGATAATCTGGACAAGAGGACTTTGACTAACATATTTGGGGTTTACTATGCAATCACAGTATTTAGTTAATTATTTTAAAAGATGATAGTCTAATCTATTAAATGTGCTTTGTGAGTGTCCATAAGCAATGAAAAGGGAAATTTCGATTAACTGAAATTTGCTAGAACAAATTAAAATTAATTCAATTGGTTAATTTTCAAAAATAAAAATTTTGGTTCAGTTAATGAAAATAAAATAAGATGTTTCAATTAATTCGATTTGAAATAAACAAACCAACCAAATAAAAACCCTTACTTAAAGATTTTTAAAATAAAGTATCGAAAATAATCTCACATTAAAAAAATAGATACAATCATTTAAATTAAGAGAAGTAAGAGTCCAATGTAGTGGGACACTTAAATCTGTACAAATAGACATTTTAATTATTCAAAAATAGATAATTTCTGTCAATTCAAAATAGATAACTATGTTTGTAAAATAAAAAGACACTTAATTGATTATATAAGCTCTTATGGTTTCTATGAAAAAAAGCAAAAATAATTTGTAGAACTCTCTCTTTCTTCAAATAAACTCCCTATTTCTTTTATAAAGTTTTTGCTACAAAAAATATTTATAAAAGTTTGATGATCTTGTAATACATCGATGAATGCTAATGGACTAATTTTGTCAGTGCAAAACATAATTAGTTATTGGATTTCATTATATCCTCGAGGTTTATTACCTGTAACCCTTTTGCATAACTACTAGTAAATAATACGGTGGGAGCAAATAAAATCTTAAGGAAAGTGGCATCGTTACACACTTTGAAGGCTTTCATCAAAA